GGTTCAGGACAATAAATTTGTTTCAGTAAATACGTCAAGATAAACAATATGAAAAACTATTAGATCAAGGTTAGTATTTTACATACAAATATAATTCTAAAAGTAGGAATTACACTGGCATTGCTGCACGAGGAGCTTCTATATTTGTGTAATGACCGGAATATTTCTGATTTGGCATAAGCTTGCGATTTTGGACGTGACATTTGCATCCGAACTGTCTTACCTGTGAGGCCAACAAAACTAGTCCAACACGCTTACTAACAGACTTGTCTTAATCAGTGAATTCAGCGTTCCTTAGGCGAAAAAATTATCGCTGTATAATTTGACACTTTGGTTTAAAATGCAACTCTCGTCAAACCTTTCAAATTAAATATTGGTCCTGACGTCAATTTGTATTTTGCAATCACTGAAATAGTCAATATTTGATATTTCGAAATGATATAAATACAATTGATATGCAATTAATAAAGTTTCGAATGCCAGCCACTTGTTGTTGTCGCAATAGTCAAATAAATACATATTTACTGTGCCTTCAAAACATTCTTCGGACCTCCAGAAGTATGTGCAACAAGATGGCGCACAACCTGAACATAGTAGTTGCACCAGTTTAGGGTTCAGGTTGTGCGCCATCTTGATGCACATACTTTGGGAGCTCCCATTCTTACATATTTACCTTCAAAAACAGCATGAGAACAATAAACACATAGTTTATGTACAATTTCTTTGTTTCAAGTTATCGAATTTATTTAATCTCGACCAAGCAAGCCAGTGGTATATATATGTCGAACACAACACAAATTTGTTGTGCAGAACAATAGAAAACACAACATATTTTGTTGTGTAAATGTTGGTGCAAATTGTGGGATGTTGTTATGTAATATTGTTTCCGGTATCGGGGGATTAATCGCATTGTTCTGTGCCCTCGTCAACCGTGTGTTAGTCATTAAGTTTATGGTATATTTTGCGTATGTTTACTGATCGACGTATGTCAAAATAATTGAAAAACGCCATTTTTATTTTAAGCGCGTTTTTTAATTTTCATTTTTTTTTATATTTTGATTTGTATTTTAACAGTTGTTTTTATTTTTCATTATTTTTTTATTTTCGGTTTATTTTTGATTTTGAAAATTTTATTTTATTTTTTTTAAATTTTACAAGAAATCGATAGTTCAACATCATATTTACCACAGAGATTCTTTTTTCACAGACTTTACTGTTGTTTTTGATAATTTGCGATGCAATCAGCATTTCAAGTACATGTACCCACACTACTTGCATTTTGAAATTTGGATTTCATCAATATTACGTAAGTCCAGTACATATATGTGGAGTATTAATACGTCAGCGAAACATGACTGTATTCCTCATATCAATGCTCGCAAGTAGATTGTTCTTCTCGTATTAGAAGTGAATAAGATACGATTTATTTGATTAGCTTTTATCATTGGCAGCTTTCGTTTATGTTCTTTTAGCTTCCCAAATAGGCAGACCTAGTGATATCCCTACATTCCCCAGATGTGATGCCAGACTTCAATACCTAACTTCGGTAAAATTGTCTTTGAATATTCAGAAAATGGCATATTTATCAGTGTAGAGTAGATGGTCTGTCATATACATAACACATTTTTATAAGTTGCAAATAGTTTCATCGCTATTGGCAAAATATTTACCACCCTCTAAATTTCAAAACACAACCCCCCAATAATGAAAATATATATATATCGGCTGCGATATATATCAGCTTCTCCTATCAAATCCTTCACCCAAATATATCTAAATCAATATTGGAATACTTATTCGTATTTTGACTAACACTAGATATGAAACAAGCCTGCCTGGTGGAATGCCGTAAAATTCATCTCACTAATTTCTAGTATACGCCTGACAAAAAGTACGAGTTTAAAAATAAATATTTTTACAAATCTTTATAAGGTATTGAAATAATACCTATATATCTGTTGTTATGACTCACGCAGCGTAGGTAGCCATTACTTTCAATTATTTCATTTCCTACTAAGCTGAAATGTGGGTGGAGTTTTTTCGTTCCACGCTCCACGTACTGCTTTAACCACGAACAAGAACAATCCTTTCGCAACTTCAATGGTCATCTTAGAATTTAGACGGTGTTTCAAAATTTTATCGTTCGTTGTTGACATCAGCAAAACGTCAGTAAACATTTATATAGCGAATCTGCACAATCACTACATTTCTATTGACAGTGGGGGAAAATGTACATTTTGAGTTGAACCTATGTGGCCTATTTTCGAGTAAATAAATCTATGCATTGGTATCAAAAATCTGCGCATTAGAATATTATTTTTCGCATAATATATTCTGTATATCAAAGTCTCAAGCATTCGAAATGTTTAAGAGGAGGCCGAGATTGGAGAATCAACCTATAAGATCCAATATTTTCATTCCGAGTTCAGATTTATAGTAAGATGTAAAGAGTTTTCTAGAAGCCATTCTTTTATTTTTAAGAATTCCTTCGATGCTCTCAACCTAATTTGCTTTTTTTTATTATTCACAGCACGCTTTCATATAACATTCGTACAATTCTTTTTGAATTCGGTTGTAATTTTTGCTGAGATTGCGACAGTATTTTAAAGGTTATATCCATAGATATATGTAAATATTGCTATATAAGTTTAATATGAAAGCAAACTTCCAACAAGCAGTGACTCAATAGCACGAATTGTTTTCTTCGAAATGGAGCTCTATGTATTAGCATATTTCTGTATAGAAAGGCCGAGTTGTCTGCATGATGATTTGGATGTATACTAAAAAATAAAAAAAAATACAAAGAAATAAAACATACTTTGGAAAGATGCAAACAATCAATTTTAGCTATCATGCGAGAATATAGGAAGAACACGGTCTTGATCTCACTGCGTATTTTATGCAAACGATTCGACTTTAAAGCAAGCTCTGATATTCAGGCTTGTCCATGGGACACATTTTTCTGTCCCATTCCCATCCCATAGAAATTATGCCTGTCCCATCCCATCCCATGGGATTCCCATTGGAATAAAATTCAAAAAAAAAAAAAAATTGGTACGTTTAGGTTTAGCGTTACTAAATAGAACTACATGTATGAAGAGACATGCAAAACAACAGAATTTACGGACTTTGTTAACTTTATATTCATAACTATTATACATGTGTCCATCAGCCCTTCACGAAGTATGTTGTTAATGCTGAATATATGTTGTTCTTTATAACTAACAAGAGAGTTATGCTCAAATATATGGACACGAAATCCATAACGGAATGTTTTACCATAATGTCCCCCAAAATCATACGGTTTCGTGTCCCACGTGTCCCATGGGAAATACAAATGTGCGATGTCCCATTCCATCCCATGGAAATCCCATTCCCATGGACAAGCCTGCTGATTTTCATATAAATAACACAGAGATAATTTTAAAAAATTTATATTTTCATAATCACAATTCATCCCAAGAACACAAAACATAATTATATACAGATATATTAAGAAGAGAAGACACAAAAAATACCACACAAATTCTATGAAATCTCACTGCTAAAATTTTAAGAACATTTTAATAATGATAATAACCATTTTACTGTATTGAACTTAAACGGAGAAATATTAAACGACGATTGCTAACAGTTACAAAAACATTATTGAATTGATAATAGAGTAAGTATCAATGAAAACACAGTGGAATTTTGGATACCTAGTTGATTTTGAATGGAACAAATTTATAGATTTTATCAATGATTACACTGACAATAAAAAATTGGTAAATTTTGACTTTTCCTTATAACTATCAGCAAATATATACCTTAGTTTTTACACCAACTTCATTTTCTAGTCAAGCGAAAAATTACAGTTCATTACTATAAAAGAAATAAATTACTTTTTAAAGCTTTTGAGGGAAAAAAAATACATTTTCAAAATTCATAAAACATTATTGATCAAAAATTAAATAAAGAACCTAATCACACTACAAAACTTCCACGCCCGAAGGACTAAGTTGTATATACTTATCGCTTTGTGTAAAAACTTTCACTTGAATCGTTTTTTATTTTAATTTTTAAATTTTCACTTCATTGGACGCGAAATGGACGTGTCCTTTGTCCTGTCCGATATCCATTTTGTTATTATGCTATTGTTGTAGTTGGAATTCTTCTTTTTGTTGTGAAAAAAAAATCGCGTTTCTCATTAACTACAAGACCAATTGCTTTTGCTTTGATTAGTTTCAAAGACTTGTGTGGTCTTTATGGAATTATTCATTCCAAAATTTTTAACTCTTAACTATATGCACATATATATTGAGTTTTTAACCAACTTCATCTTGCAGTCAAGCGAAAAATTACAGCTTATAATTAGAGAAAAATAAATTAGTTTTCAAAGTTTTTTGATAAAAAAACACACTTCTCTCATTTTTAACATCCATAAAACAGTATTCATCAAAAAAGAAATGAAGAATCTAATTATATTGCAAAACTTCCACGCCAGAAGGACCAAATATATATACCTATGAGAAATGCTTGCGTCAGCATCTTTGTTTTGAATAGTTTTTTATTTCAATTTTGGAACTTCATTTTATTGGACACGAAATGTACCTATAATTGCTTTCTTTTTCATGTTATTGTTACGTTATTGTTGGTGTAATTTCACTTTTTGTCGCTTTTCTCTATCTATGGAACCAATTGCTTTGAATTTTGCAGTGGTTAAAGATTGTTGTACTCTAATTAATTTAAAAAACTTTGTGGGCTCTATGGAATTTATTTTTCATTCCAAAATTTAAAAAAAATGCGTCAGTCTGCCGATACTGTACGATTATGATGCTATTTCATTTTAGCTTTCGTGTCCATATATTGAAGCATTGATTTTTTGTTTTTATAAGAGCAAGCAAGGCCATGCGCACCAACTCAGGAGTAAAGGAGACTGACCTCGATACATTGTACGAGTTAAAAATAAAATCTCCGGCAAATGTTGTTCATATGTCATAAAAAAAAACTTGAGCACATTGATTATTCGACAAAATCGAATTTAATGAACAACCCCAGCAAAATCAGAACCAATATATCCTAGAAAATTTTCTGTCAGGGTTTTTTGACGTTGGCAAGATATAGAGATTTGAATTATACGTTTTTTTTTACTAAAATCGCGGCATTGGGCCTTTCAGCAAATCTTACGATGGAAATTTTGGACTTGCAGAATATTACGGAATCTGCAACGTAGAGTGTTCTATTCACTGTAAACATCACAAAGATAGAAACTATACTCATCAAATAAACTGTCGTAAGTTCAATTATTATTCGTTTTCATACGTTTTCTGTGTACGTAACTAATCAGTAGAGTAAATCCACATCTTGCAATCAAACTTGATTCTAAAAATATAAAAAATATGATTTGTCTCAGTATTATTCCGTAGATGCAAATGTATTTGGTGTACTTGCTTCTGAATCTACTTATTTTGGGGATTGCACTCAATACAGCATTCCACTTTTTAGATGTATATATTCGCTTTTAACAAACTTTGAAGTCAAAGAGATTACAAAAAATTAGTCTTAAGTGACCACTAACTGTATGCAAAAAAAAAAATTATTTTTAAAGGCACAAGTTGATATGGTATCACAAGAAGACTTGAATATTTTTTTGTCTGGAACGATTATGAAAAACGCAAAATGATAAATCGCTGATAAGAACACACTTCGGATTGAGAGTGCGCTACCGGTAAAGTTTTCTCGGATAGGATACGGTCGAACGAAAACTTTTAACTTACCCTTACTGGTATTTTTACGCAGGAACGTAGCAAAGTTGAAAATGTGTAATATTAAGCTGTGATTAAAGAGCATTGTTATTGCACATATACTAAAACAAAAACACTCACTTGATCCTGTTGATTGCACCTCGGACGTAATTTTGGTAATGCGTACCTAATTCTGTACTTGAATGCACTGGAAAATGGAACCGTTTCAGACCAATGTACAGTTGTACTTCGCTGATTGAAATTATTGAGATGATTTTAATAATATATCTGTCTTAAGGCTACCATAATAACAGAAACAAGAGAGCAATTCCCAAATATATGTACACGTTAACCAGAGCGAAGCAATGCTTACCTTTGACGCTACCGGTACCCTCCAAAATTTCCGAGTTACTCGTAGCAAGAATTTACAGTATCTAACTGGACAGCCAGAGTTCCCATGTATAAAATAATACAGCGAAATTTTGGACGAAATATCAGACTTCATACGAAATTTAGACATAAAAAAAGTAATAGCCTTCTGGCAAAAAATCAATCTTTAACCACTGAAAATTTTAAAGCCATTGTCCAAGTATTCGAAGAGAGAAGCTATTTTTAATGATAATGATGACGAATAACAAGAACAACAACAACAACATAATATCGAAACAATCGCTATGTCCATTAGCGTGTCCAAAAACAAAGACATTGTAAGAAAGGTAAGGTTTGTTTTTTCGTCCGGGTGTCAACGGATCGTGAAGTACTACATCGAGTTACTCGTGGCGTCAAATTTAATACCCATTCGAAAACCAATGTTCTTTTCCTTAGCTACTGGACTAAACGCTTTCGAAATATCAGATGTTGAATATAGTGTCATCCTCTAAAAAAATTACTTTCCTTTTTACATAAATCATCAGGACTTCCCGTGCTCATTGTAACACCACATATTGTTTTAAGTTGAACTACGGCGTGGTTTTTCCGATGAGCCAATTTTCCGAGCAAGTATTAAAAATAGAACAATATAACAGAGTTGAACGATGATTTAGCAAAACTTTCCACAGGTTTATTTATGTTCAATAGGCTACTGAGATGACAACGTTCATTTAGTTACAATAGCTTACTTTCATTGCATATTGCATTAAATGTTTCGTTTTATCATCTGAAAGAGAGACCGCTTTCTTTGCGCCAGGCATAGTTATAAATATCAACTTTTTTACGGTATTCAAAACTTCGTGAAGAGCCTGAGGACCAAAAATAAAATGGCAAGTTGTTATCAAAATTACCTTGACAACGAACGTTCATTATGATTATTATAATATAAAATTAATGATATCGTGGTAAGACATTCTCTAAAGTCTAAACTATACATTGTCAATAATCATAATTACATACCAATCAGTTCTTATTGGTGACAGCACATTTGAACCCACGTACATTTGCTCCCGTACATTTGCACCCGCAAACTGCACCCAAGACATTTGAACCTCTATACTATTGCACCCACCGACATTTGCATCCCGGACATTTGCACCCCGGACATTCGCACCCACCGACATTTGCATCCCGGACATTTGCACCCTGGACATTTGCACCCACCGACATTTGCATCCCGGACATTTGCACCCCGGACAATTGCAACTACATACTATTGCACCTATGGAATTTTTTGTTTTTGTTTACGGATATTTGAACCCATACTAACCCTAACCCATGGGATATACACATGAGTTCAAATGTACGTGGGTTCAAAAGTTTTAAATTAATTAGAGTACAACAATCTTTAACCACTGCAAAATTCAAAGCAATTGGTTCCATAGATAGAGAAAAGCGACAAAAAGTGAAATTACACCAACAATGACGTAACAATAACATGAAAAAGAAAGCAACTATAGGTACATTTCGTGTCCAATAAAATGAAGTTCCAAAATTGAAATAAAAAACTATTCAAAACAAAGATGCTGACGCAAAGCATTTCTCATAGGTATATACTATTTGGTCTTTCTAGCGTGGAAGTTTTGCAATATAATTAGATTCTTCATTTCTTTTTTGATGAATACTGTTTTATGGATGTTAAAAATGAGAGAAGTGTGTTTTTTTATCAAAAACTTTGAAAACTAATTTATTTTTCTCTAATTATAAGCTGTAATTTTTCGCTTGACTGCAAGATGAAGTTGGTTTAAAAACTCAAATATATATGTGCATATAGTTAAGAGTTAAACATTTTGGAGTGAATAATTCCATAAAGACCACACAAGTCTTTGAAACTGATCAAAGTAAAAGCAATTGGTCTTGTAGTTAATGAGAAACGCGATTTTTTTTTCACAACAAAAAGAAGAATTCCAACTACAACAATAGCATAATAACAAAATGGATATCGGACAGGACAAAGGATACGTCCATTTCGCGTCCAATGAAGTGAAATTTAAAAATTGAAATAAAAAACGATTCAAGTGAAAGTTTTTACACAAAGCGATAAGTATATACAACTTAGTCCTTCGGGCGTGGAAGTTTTGTAGTGTGATTAGGTTCTTTATTTAATTTTTGATCAATAATGTTTTATGAATTTTGAAAATGTATTTTTTTTTTCCTCAAAAGCTTTAAAAAGTAATTTATTTCTTTTATAGTAATGAACTGTAATTTTTCGCTTGACTAGAAAATGAAGTTGGTGTGAAAACTAAGGTATATATTTGCTGATAGTTATAAGGAAAAGTCGAAATTTACCAATTTTTTATTGTCAGTGTAATCATTGATAAAATCTATAAATTTGTTCCATTCAAAATCAACTAGGTATCCAAAATTCCACTGTGTTTTCATTGATACTTACTCTATTATCAATTCAATAATGTTTTTGTAACTGTTAGCAATCGTCGTTTAATATTTCTCCGTTTAAGTTCAATACAGTAAAATGGTTATTATCATTATTAAAATGTTCTTAAAATTTTAGCAGTGAGATTTCATAGAATTTGTGTGGTATTTTTTGTGTCTTCTCTTCTTAATATATCTGTATATAATTATGTTTTGTGTTCTTGGGATGAATTGTGATTATGAAAACTATAAATTTTTTAAAATTATCTTTGTGTTATTTATATGAAAATCAGCAGGCTTGTCCATGGGAATGGGATTTCCATGGGATGGAATGGGACATCGCACATTTGTATTTCCCATGGGACACGTGGGACACGAAAACCGTATGATTTTGGGGGGACATTATGGTAAAACATTCCGTTATGGATTTCGTGTCCATATATTTGACCATAACTCTCTTGTTAGTTATAAAGAACAACATATATTCAGCATTAACAACATACTTCGTGAAGGGCTGATGGACACATGTATAATAGTTATGAATATAAAGTTAACAAAGTCCGTCCGTATTCTGTTGTTTTGCATGTCTCTTCATACATGTAGTTCTATTTAGTAACGCTAAACCTAAATGTACCAATTTTTTTTTTTTTTGAATTTTATTCCAATGGGAATCCCATGGAATGGGATGGGACAGGCATAATTTCTATGGGATGGGAATGAGACAGAAAAATGTGTCCCGTGGAAAAGCCTGAATATCAGAGCTTGCTTGAAAGTCGAATCGTTTGCATAAAATACGCAGTGAGATCAAGACCGCGTTCTTCCTATATTCTCGCATGATAGCTAAAATTGATTGTTTGCATCTTTCCAAAGTATGTTTTATTTCTTTGTATTTTTTTTTATTTTTTTATTTTTTGGTATACATCCAAATCATCATGCAGACAACTCGGCCTTTCTATACAGAAATATGCCAATACATAGAGCTCCTTTTCGAATAAAACCATTCGTGCTATTGAGTCACTGCGTGTTGGAAGTTTGCTTTCATATTAAACTTATATAGCAATATTTACATATTTCTATGGATATAACCTTTAAAATACTGTCGCAATCTCAGCAAAAATTACAACCGAATTCAAAAAGAATTGTACGAATGTTATATGAAAGCGTGCTGTGAATAATAAAAAAAAAGCAAATTGGGTTTGGAGCATCGAAGGAATTCCTAAAAATAAAAGAATGGCTTCTAGAAAACTCCTTACATCTTACTATAAATCTGAACTCGGAATGAAAATGTTGGATCTTATAGGTTGATTCTCCAATCTCGGCCTCCTCTTGAACATTCCGAATGCTTGAGACTTTGATATACAGAATATATTATGCGAAATATAATATTCTAATGCGCAGATTTTTGATACCAATGCATAAATTTATTTACTCGCAAATAGGCCACATAGGTTCAACTCAAAATGTACATTTTCCCCCTCTGTCAATAGAAATGTAGTGATTGTGCAGATTCGCTATATAAATGGTTACTGACGTTTTGCTGATGTCAACAACGAACGATAAAAATTTGAAACACAGTCTAAATTCTAAGATGACCATTGAAGTTGCGAAAGGATTGTTCTTGTTCGTGGTTAAAGCAGTACGTGGAGCGTGGAACGAAAAAACTCCACCCACATTTCAGCTTAGTAGGAAATGAAATAATTGAAAGTAATGGCTACCTACGCTGCGTGAGTCATAACAACAGATATATAGTTATTATTTCAATACCTTATAAAGATTTGTAAAAATATTTATGTTTAAACTCGTACTTTTTGTCAGGCGTATACTAGAAATTAGTGAGATGAATTTTACGGCATTCCACCAGGCAGGCTTGTTTCATATCTAGTGTTAGTCAAAATATAAGTATTCCAATATTGATTTAGATATATTTGGGTGAAGGATTTGATAGGAGAAGCTGTTATATATCGCAGCCGATATATATACATTTTCATTATTGGGGGGTTGTGTTTCGAAATTTAGAGGGTGGTAAATATTTTGCCAATAGCGATGAAACTATTTGCAACTTAAAAAGGTGTTATGTATATGACAGACCATCTACTCTACGCTGATAAATATGCCATTTTCTGAATATTCAAAGACAATTTTACCGGAGTTAGGTATTGAAGTCTGGCATCACATCTGGGGAATGTAGGGATATCACTAGGTCTGCCTATTTGGGAAGCTAAAGAACATAAACGAAAGCTGCCAATGATAAAAGCTAATCAAATAAATCATATCTTATTCACTTCTAATACGAGGAAGAACAATCTACTTGCGAGCATTGATATGAGGAATACAGTCATGTTTCGCTGACGTATAATACTTACATGTATGTACTGACTTACGTAATATTGATGAAATCCAAATTTCAAAATGCAAGTAGTGTGGGTACATGTACTTGAAATGCTGATTGCATTCGCAAATTATCAAAAACAACAGTAAAGTTTGTGAAAAAAGAATCTCTGTGGTAAATATGATGTTGAACTATCGACTTCTTGTAAAATATAAAAAAAATAAAAATAAAAAATAAAATA